GTGAGAACGTCTAGGTGAGAACATCTAGGTAGGAACATCTAGGTGAGAACGTCTAGGTGAGAACATCTAGGTGAGAACATCTAGGTAGGAACATCTAGGTGAGAACGTCTAGGTGAGAACATCTAGGTAGGAACATCTAGGTGAGAACGTCTAGGTGAGAACATCTAGGTGAGAACATCTAGGTAGGAACATCTAGGTGAGAACGTCTAGGTGAGAACATCTAGGTAGGAACATCTAGGTAGGAACATCTAGGTAGGAACATCTAGGTAGGAACATCTAGGTGAGAACATCTAGGTGAGAACATCTAGGTGGGAACATCTAAGTGAGAACATCTAGGTAGGAACATCTAGGTAGGAACATCTAGGTGAGAACATCTAGGTGAGAACATCTAGGTGGGAACATCTAAGTGAGAACATCTAGGTAGGAACATCTAGGTGAGAACATCTAGGTGAGAACATCTAGGTAGGAACATCTAGGTAGGAACATCTAGGTGAGAACATCTAGGTAGGAACATCTAGGTGAGAACATCTAGGTGAGAACATCTAGGTAGGAACATCTAGGTAGGAACATCTAGGTGAGAACATCTAGGTAGGAACATCTAGGTGAGAACATCTAGGTAGGAACATCTAGGTGAGAACATCTAGGTGAGAACATCTAGGTGGGAACATCTAAGTGAGAACATCTAGGTGAGAACATCTAGGTGGGAACATCTAAGTAAGAACATCTAGGTAGGAACATCTAGGTGAGAACATCTAGGTAGGAACATCTAGGTAGGAACATCTAGGTAGGAACATCTAGGTGAGAACATCTAGGTGAGAACATCTAGGTAGGAACATCTAGGTAGGAACATCTAGGTGAGAACATCTAGGTAGGAACATCTAGGTGAGAACATCTAGGTGAGAACATCTAGGTAGGAACATCTAGGTAGGAACATCTAGGTAGGAACATCTAGGTGAGAACATCTAGGTGAGAACATCTAGGTGGGAACATCTAAGTAAGAACATCTAGGTAGGAACATCTAGGTGAGAACATCTAGGTAGGAACATCTAGGTAGGAACATCTAGGTAGGAACATCTAGGTGAGAACATCTAGGTGAGAACATCTAGGTAGGAACATCTAGGTGAGAACATCTAGGTAGGAACATCTAGGTGAGAACATCTAGGTAGGAACATCTAGGTAGGAACATCTAGGTAGGAACATCTAGGTGAGAACATCTAGGTAGGAACATCTAGGTGGGAACATCTAGGTAGGAACATCTAGGTAGGAACATCTAGGTGAGAACATCTAGGTGAGAACATCTAGGTGAGAACATCGAGGTGGGAACATCTAGGTGAGAACATCTAGGTGAGAACATCTAGGTGAGAACATCTAGGTAGGAACATCTAGGTAGGAACATCTAGGTAGGAACATCTAGGTAGGAACATCTAGGTGAGAACATCTAGGTGAGAACATCGAGGTGAGAACATCTAGGTAGGAACATCTAGGTGAGAACATCTAGGTGAGAACATCTAGGTAGGAACATCTAGGTAGGAACATCTAGGTAGGAACATCTAGGTAGGAACATCTAGGTGAGAACATCTAGGTGAGAACATCGAGGTGAGAACATCTAGGTAGGAACATCTAGGTAGGAACATCTAGGTAGGAACATCTAGGTGAGAACATCTAGGTGAGAACATCTAGGTGAGAACATCGAGGTGGGAACATCTAGGTGAGAACATCTAGGTGAGAACATCTAGGTAGGAACATCTAGGTGGGAACATCTAGGTAGGAACATCTAGGTAGGAACATCTAGGTGAGAACATCTAGGTGAGAACATCTAGGTGAGAACATCGAGGTGGGAACATCTAAGTGAGAACATCTAGGTGAGAACATCTAGGTAGGAACATCTAGGTAGGAACATCTAGGTGAGAACGTCTAGGTGAGAACATCTAGGTAGGAACATCTAGGTGAGAACGTCTAGGTGAGAACATCTAGGTAGGAACATCTAGGTAGGAACATCTAGGTAGGAACATCTAGGTGAGAACGTGTAGGTGAGAACATCTAGGTGAGAACATCTAGGTGAGAACGTCTAGGTGAGAACATCTAGGTAGGAACATCTAGGTAGGAACATCTAGGTAGGAACATCTAGGTGAGGGCCTCATCATGGAGGCACAAAGTGGGTAAATATAAATATAAAACAAAAGAGCACTCACTCTGGCTCATAGTTTCCTCTTCAAATATTAAACAGTAAACTTAATCTCTTTTCTGCCAGCGTAAGAACTTTACTTTGTTAAAGTTGTCGGAGAGTTTGACAGTTGGGGGGGGGAAGGTTGTTATTGTTGTGGTTGATGTTATGTTGGATGTTAGTGTGGTGGTTGTAGCAGTGGTGGTGGTTGTTGTTGTAGTGGTTGTAATAGTAGTGGTGTTTGTTATTGTAGCGGTTTTAGTAGTGGTGGTTGTAAAAAGTAGTTATGTTAGCTATTGTAGTGGTTGTTATTGTAGTTGGGGTTGTAACAGCAGTAGTGCAGACCAGGAGTCACAATAACGTGGCTGAAGTATGTTGACCAAACCACACACTACAACGTGAAGGGACGACGACGTTTCGGTCCGTCCTGGATCATTCTCAAGTCGATTGTCCATTCTCCATTCTGTCCAGGACCACGCTCCCAACACAATACCACCAACCCAACCATAAGACACACACAACAGCACTCACAACCATGGGATAACGATAGTGAAATCCGCGTTTGAACAACCATAGACTTGTACAGTGCACTACAGTAATAAAGAGTGAGGTTGTACAGGTGTGGAGACAGTGTTGGGAGACGGCCCCAGACCCTCCGCCACTCTCCAAGCCTCGCGTCGCCATGTTGCCAACTCTGAGCTGCTGAACGTTATAATTACACGGGGACGCGTTATATGGGATAAATTAATTAATAACAGCTAGCCAGTGTTATCTTGATCTTGTTGAAGAACAGTCTACAATAACCAGCACTCTGAAAACAATGCTGGTAAGGATGTGTTTACAACACTAGAAGGTTGTAAATTGACATATTTACAACATATATATTGACATAACATGTCTGGTAACTCAAGCGAGAACAGCGCATATTATAACAGACATATATATATATATATATATATATATATATATATATATATATATATATATATATATATTAGCATATTTTGGTAGCAGTCTTTCCTGTAGACATATATTATTAAATATGACCGAAAAAGTAAGATTAATAATTCTAACACGAATTTTCTCGATCTTTCTTACGTTTCTTTTCACTGTTGATGGTAATTCAAAGATCAATTCTCCAAAATTCATTTTTATTTCTAGTCTGACGCGAAACTTGAGCGCGTTTCGTAAAACTTATTACATTTTCAAAGACTTTAGTTTACAAACACACAACTGAAACTGAATAGAGCTTACACATCTTCGAGTTTATATCTACATTTGGGTGAGGTGGATGAGGTGAAAACAAACTTTCAACAATGGGTATTGAATGGGTATTAAATTCAAACACAAGACAGAACACGAAACAATGGGTATTGAATGGAAGTAATTGTAGAAAGCCTCTTGGTCCATATTTCTTGATGCTTCTATATTGGAGCAGAGTCTTGAAGTGGGTAGAATATAGTTGTGCATTAATTGGCTGTTGATTGCTGGTGTTGACTTCTTGATGTGTAGTGCCTCGCAGACGTCAAGCCGCCTGCTTTCGCTGTATCTATCGATGATTTCTGTGTTGTTTGCTAAGATTTCTTGAAATCCATGCAAATGTTCTTGCTGAATGTCTTAAAGTTACCCTCTCAACACCCTTCCTTCACGCCCAAGAACTCTCCCTTAGACAAGAAATCGACCGTGCCATACCGCTGCCCATGCTCGGCGTCGACAACATGTACACCTTAAGCGAAATACAATTAGCCTTAACTCGCCTACCTCTTGGCAAGGCACCTGGAGAGGATGGAATTCCATATGAATTTATCAAATATCTTCCATCAACTGCACATAGCACTCTTCTAAACTATTACAACCTATGCTGGACTCAGGGAAATATTCCCTCACAATGGCAGACCAGTATTATTCTTCCTTTCCTTAAACTAGGAAAAGACCCATCCCAACCTGCGTCATACAGACCTATCTCCTTACTATCATCCTCGGTAAAGTCATGGAAAGACTAGTACACACTCGCCTCCAGTGGTACCTTGAGTATAATATTTTACCGTCACTCCAAACTGTATTTCGACCGCAATGCTCCACACGTGATCAAATACTCTGCCTTGAACATGAAATCCGCAACTCTCTCAGAAGCAGTAAATTTTGTATTGTCCTGTACCTAGACCTTAATCTTCATCAATCGATCAATCACAGCATCAACATAACTCCAATAGTGGTTGACAAACGCTCTAGATACACCGCGGACCTTCTCCAGCACAATCATACGATGCAACACACTCAAAGATGCATCTTGGCTACAGAGCAGGCACGGAATAAAGAGCAAGACCTCATTTCCTTGTACTCTCATAAGTACTGTATTGTAATACAGTACTTTAAGTGTCCTGGGTAGTAAAGGCAGGTTTTCCTTCTATCACATAACCAGAAGTCTACATAGTACTACCAATATGCAGGAGGGATAAGGAAATTTTCCCATTTTGAAGACTAAGACATTAAGGCCAATGGGCAAGTCAGTTTACTATATATAAACCTATCTTCCAGGTATTTCTCTCCTTCCATCATATAAACAGGGCCGAGTGTACCATTTGGTAGTCACCAGTTTAAATTTGCTTAGAGCAGGGAACATATCTGAAAAAAAATTTGCAATATCACCCAGCTAAACTAATTTAAAATGAAAAGATGGTGACATCCATATAGCATCATTACTGGATATGTGTACTACACGATAATTTAAACCAGTTTTATTATATAACGAAAAACAAATTCAATACTTGCCATAATTTCAAATTTTGTAGTTACTTTACAATTATCAACAATAATAAAAAATAAAAAAAATGCAGTATATTAACCTTTATTTATTAGATACATTAAAGGCAACATTAAAAAATCAACTTAGCAAACATGACAACTATAACACTACTAGTCACAATGGCTGCACTAAGACCATTGTACCTGTAAGGCAGTCACATATGAAATTCAACACAAGGGAATTTTTAAAATAAACTCTAGATAGTTACAATAATATGCCCAAGGATGTCGTGTCGTTTTACAGGCTGTTACAATGTTACGTAACACTAACCCAAGAAAGTTATCCTGTTTAGCAGGCTGATACAATGTTATGTAACACTCCCGTTGTGCTAGGAAACAGTCACCAGACGTTAACCAATTTTCACATTGTAATGTAAAATCATTAATATTTAAACACATTGCAGTACTAACATTTATAAATGTAGAATATACTGAACATTAATAAAAATTACAGTGCTCTCATATAGAGCATGCTTAATAACATAGCCAATCACATTACAAACTAAAAAAGGCATTAAAATGCTAAAAGATTATAGGGGTGCAAAATACACAAGAATGCTTAATACTAAAAGTACAAGAAAACTCAAATGCTGCAAACACATGTACCAATCACCAGAGAAATCACATTGTACTTTTCTCATGAATATCATTAATGTTTTTGGTTAAGACTTGTATTTACTGTATTCTTAAAGGCCCCATACACATTACATCCACCACTTCCATTGGTTCAAGGCAGAACCAATTGTGGAAAACCTGCCTCACCTCTAACCACTAAATTCTGAATAGGAATTTAATAGGTATTAATGTAGTGGAAGTTCAAATATGTTATCATATCAAATATTTAATGCAAAAAGTTAACTATTAATATTTACAAAATTGTTTAAATATTTGTTGTTTAAATTATGAGTAATTAAAGAAGGAAACATTAATAATGTAAATCTATATAAATTTCTTCATTTCAATTTTACTAGTGTACAGGTTTATTACAAATTTTGAAATGTACTGTAAACAGTGGCATCTCTGTTCTGAATTCAGTCCACCATAATGAGCAATCAACAAGGATTCGAGGGTGGATAATACTCAGCACATGAAGTGCAGAGAGATTTGCAAAATTGGCTTTTTATTATAAAATGTACATGTCCATGTTTTAATTAAATTATATGTTAAAGTAATTGTGGTGTTGAATCTAATGCACATGGAGCCAGAATCAATCCTTTTGTTCAAACAAAATATCAATGTATAATGATTGCAGCAGCAAGACATTTACACTCTTCACTAGAGGAACACTTATATTTAAGATGCCTTGGCTTTCCCGGCCAGACACGATGTTGCTGGTGATTGAGGGGCAATGACGATCGAGGGATCGGATGCGCTCTGGCTGCCCAATACCGGGAAATAGCAAAGAGGGATGGGATCCCTACATCATGTCCCTCTAGCCACGGACATGATGGATGAAGCGGAAGGTATGGTACTGCCAGACATGTTACTTTCAATACAAATCAAAGCTGTTGTTCCACTTGTAGAGGTAATAACACTAAGAAATACTGTACTCACTAAAGTCAAGAAAAGAAAAATGTTCTCTGCCCGATCAACATTATGCAATATCTGTAACTATATTAGTGTCAAACTTAATGCACTGAAGCTTCACTAAATGAATCATGTACATGTGTAGCATTATACAGCATACACTTTATATTTTCCTATATCACTTTAGTGCCTTTTCATTTCTTGAATAACAAAAATTGGTAATGATTAATTTCAGTAATATAGATTTAAAATCTATTTATTTTACAAGGCTTACTACAAACTTGCCTAAACACATTTAAAAATATCAATGCCATGTTTAGGCAAAAAATAAGTTTAGTGTGATATTACTCTGGAAGAAACTATACTCCACAAAATGTTAAGTTCATGCAAAAACTCAATATGTGAAACAATATGAAGTTAATCATTTGAACGGTTAGCTTTTTCTTTGGTAATATACATATCAAAGGTGGCTAAATATAAAATGTTTCCACACAGTTTCCCTGCTACAGTATTCTCATGTGTTAATTTTATCCAAAATTTTCTACACATCCTTCCACTTTGTATGAGAATATTACCTTAAAATTGACAATGTACATTCAGCAGAATATACCAAGGCTAAAGTATAAATTTGTATAATGCTGAATATAAAATATTAAATGGAATATCACCTTCAACATAGCACTTCAATAATAACAATATATAAATTAATGAAATTATAACTTTTCAACTCCAACTGACAATTCAAAAAAATCCAAGTGGTATGGGCAAGTTGTTACAAAGTAATAATATTCTTAAATTTTACTTTTTCAAACTTCAAGTCAAGAATTTATGTAGCTAAAGTCTCTTGCTGTATGGTACTCAAAAATTACTAGTTGAACTACTGAATCAATTACTAGATAAGCAAAGGCAGGCATCAAGGCATTCAGATGGGAAATTTTTATCTATCAAAGCAAAATCTAACTTTAATCATGATGCCTGGAATATATGGATATATGGAACAGCTTACGACCACCTAGCACGGCTCAGGAACCAACTTTTACTTCACGTGTCAAAGTTGGTGATTGTATATCCCTCAAGTGTCTCCATCTCATAACTACATTTTTCAATTAAATCTACAAATGGGTCTGACTGCACATGACTACTAGTGGGTAAAGTAATATTTACATGATTATCAGACTCATCAAGGATTTCAACTGCTGTAATTTCATACCTGGGTTGAATTTGGTATTCTCCACCCAGTCTTTCTATTAGAGTCAGGATCGTAGTCCTATCAGTCTTCGATTTCATTTGGAACTGAAATAAAGCATACATATTAGAAGAGATAAAAAGAGGGACTAACATATTGCATTAACAAGTGCAGCTCATGTTAATAAAGTCTGAAGAAAGTATTAATTTATGCAACATAGAATTTAAATCTTGTCTCATCTCTTGAGATGAGACTGGGTGCTACAATGCCATGTTTTGGCATTTGGCACCATTTGTCATGATGTGCCATTTTAAGACAAGTACAGTACCTGTAACTTATTTGTATTGGGATAAAAATGTGGAAAGAAAAATGTGGAAACATCACCCCCTGCAAGTTAGATAGTAGATGGAAACTAGCCTAGACAGGAAGACATGGCAGTAAAACAAAGCAATAGAATAAGATAAGGCATTCATCTTTGATGTGTGGCAGACTGCAAAATAGCGATTGGAGGATTACAGTTAACAACAAATTAGTTGGTGATGAACACAATAAGCTTCATTTAAGTCTGACTTCACTGAAGAGGCTAAACTGGCATAAGGAGTTGCCAGATTTCCAAAGACAACTGGCCAATATTTCCTAATAATTACCTAAGTGTAGTTCCAGGATGAGAGCTGAGCTCATGGTGTCTCATCTTTCCCAGTACTCAGTCATACGACACTTTGAAACTACTGACAGTTTTGGCTTCTGGCAGACCACAAAAAAATCACAATGGAATAATATATCAACGAAAAAATAATTTTCTCATTGATTTATGCAATGTAGAAAATTATTTTCTCATTCCCAATCAACCAGGCTATGATTCATACGTCAGGCTGCGAGCAGCCCCATCCAACAGCCTGGTTGACCAGTCCAGCAACCAGGAAGCCTGGTCGAGGACCGGGCCGTGGGGACGTTGAGCCCTGAAATTATCGCTTTGAGTGCGAGGCAGATGTGCCCGTCTTATGACAGTGTGAGGCAGACGTACCCACCTCATGACGATATTATTATTAAGATACCTCACTACACTACCCTACTGGTAAAGTAACGAACCCGTATATGCATTACAGTAGTTGTTGGCAGTCGCAGAAGTTTCTTTAACAAGGAGGGGAGACTGATGGCATAAACATAACCCCTAATGTAACAAATCGGCTTCACCTCATATAGTTCGTTCAAGTGCATTCACACTATTAAATTTGAGATGTGTATTTTTTTAATTCACCTACATTTGATTGACATTTTCCTGGAATCCTACAAGAAAACTAAATTAAGGAATACCTCTTCATTCAAATTTCAAGAACTAATATCAGTATTAGAATTTAATTAATTTGAAATTTAAAGGGTTAAAGCAGATGCTCAACTCACCACAAATGAAGGCTCCTGTTGTTGACTGGATCCTGAATTATCAATGGGAGGAATATCTTGTAGCAATTTTGCCTTTGTCATCTTCACTTTCTGTGGAGTCTGTTAAGAAACAAGTGTTAACATATTGTGTTGAGAAAATGATGACTGTCTGTAAAGCATTAAATAGGTTTCTTTTACTAGGTGGCTGGAGTAAATACTAAAGCCAAATAGAATTATTATGCCAAATTTATTTTATCAAATAGCATTACACTGTATTTAGAGGAACATCTTATTAGATTTTCAAATAAGAGGTCCTACTGATACTATTTACAAAACTGAAAATGGTGTGTATATTTACCTGAGGTTCATCATCTGATGAAACACACTTTCTTTTAAGGTTAGATGGCTGACTCTTTTCTCTGTGGTCTCGTTTAACATTCTTACAGACTCTAATGTCAATGCATTCTTTCTTGTATAAGTCCTTCCTGTAAAAGAAAATATTCTTAGGTTGAAAAAATAAAATCAGATATTCTCTCTCAATAAGTACAATGCTATACAAAAAATTTGGAATAATATATATTACCATAAACTTTTAATTTGACATGGGGTTCATTTCTCAAGACCATAAACTTATGCTTCAAGTAACTAGCAAGCATTTAGTTTATCTTCAGAAGTTGATAAACTTGTGGAAACACCTGTTTAAGACCATTAGTACAACATTCAGAAACACCTTCTAACTGCAGATTCCCAGCATCGTTTAAGGAGAAATCTTTAATGTTTAGCAATTCTTTTTATTTTTTTTTTTTTTTAAATAAAGTATATGGACAATGTAAGAAAGCAATCCTACACCTTGATTTTGAGAAAACCTTTGATAATGTTTATCATCAATACTCTTCTACTTTCAAAAGTAGTTCTTGAATAGATTGCTCAAAACCTGTATTAGCATCAGGGAACAAATGTGGAGAGCTAAATAACAATGCATCACAATGGCTAGATGTAACGAGCAATCAAGTAATCATCTTGGTACCAGTTTTGTCTCACTTCACAAAACCGACAAAGTTGATATACTGTACTATACAATATCAAAACTTGCTGATGACAAAACTAGGGAGCAGTTATATCATCAATAGAGAGAGACTGCAAGCCAACTTAAACTCTGCCCAATAACTAGTCTCATGAACCACACATGTTTTTATGTTGATAAATGAACTGAAAAAACATATTGGAAAAAGTTAATCAAAACCTATTACAAGAACACTATTGAGCTAATGAAAGAAAAAACATAGACGTGGGAGTTCTAGTGGCTAGTGATCTTGAGCAAAGCAAGCACTCTATTACGGCTAAACTTGGCTAATACAATATTAGGTTTCACTGGAAGGTCTTCAGAACTTAAAGTCAGGAATGTCATCTTTGCTGTACAATTCATTAGTACTGTCTAGTCTGGAATATTCCATAATTTTGGGCAGTATTTGAGAAAGGATACTGACCAATTGGAAGGTGTTCAGTACCAATATACCAGTACCAAGGTATAAAGAGTTATAAATAAATCGTGGACTTTTAAAGAACTGAATTTATTCAAATTTTAAAGAATAATAAAAGGCAATTTAATACAATAGAATTCATATTGGTAGGCTGCATGAAGTAGTAGTGCTAGCCTTATGTATGTTTTCAAGAAGATAGTGAATGAATGAATGAATGGATGATAGCCTAAAGAGTGGCCTTGAACAAATATGACCGAGAGGAAAACTGGGAAAAAGGCAGGCAGGGAAGCAAGAGGAAAATAGACTATGCTAAGGGACAAGGATGGGGAGGAGGGGGGGAAGGGAGTGCTAGTAGATCACACAGCCTGTTCTCTGCATTCAACACACTATATAAATATCAATGGCTTTGCATAAACAAACTTATGACCCCTAACAACCCACCCAACCTTTCAGAAGACCGATGCAGAGAAAATGTCAATATTACGGTGCTTTAATTGTTACCAATATGCAGCACTTAACAGTGATCTGTTCCATTAACAGGGAAGAGGATGGTTCAAGTGAATCAAAATACATTTGGCCTATACTGTACTTGACAAACCACAAGCAACTTTAGCATAGTCATATGAAGCAGTAAGGTGCTGGTGTGGATGACTGGAAACATGGGCAATGTCTTCTTCTCAAGTTTACTTTTAATTAAATGTACTAAGGTGTACTAAGTATTACAAGAAACTAGAAAGAATCCTTAATATTAAATAACAATAATATTTGACCATTAAAATATATCACACTTACCAATCAGAATTATAGACAATCACTACAAGTTCCATTTGCTTGCTAAGTTGGCGATGGCATGAATTTAGGCAAAGGAAGACAATGGAGAACTTGAATTTTCCATCAATAATTGCCGGTACTTGATCTTTAAGGTCTATTTCAGCGGTTGGATGATTTAAAGCGTCTTCTGTGCCATTCAGATAGGAACATTTGGTGGTTAAATAAAAGTTGAAATATGAAGGTAAGTCTGAAGGCCTTTTGCCATTTCCGTCAGAATGCATTTTACAACACTTGACAGGCATATCCTTGTTCAATTCATCACAAAACCTCATACTAATTCTGACCTTATCCTGCGGCTTGCAGCCTTCAATCATAAATGAAACTGGAATATCATTTTTTGTAGTAATATCTTTTCCCTTTATCTGGAAAGTAAAAAAAATTATTCATTACCCAACACTATTCTTATGGCCTTTCATGTCAAAATAAATATAAATACAAATTATATATACTGAATGGTGTATATATTTATAAGAGAATGTGTGTGTGCTTGAAGTTGGAGAGCAGAGGCTTGGGGCTAGCCTCACACACATGTGCAGGGGGAGTGGTATGGGGGCACACACAGGCTGGTTGGGGTGAGCCTAAGTTAAATGCATTAAGAAATATTAGCATTTATAGTCACCCCCATACAATTTTCATATAGTCATGTGTGAAATATTTAGAGTAATTCCCATAGAGTTTTCAATTATAATAAAATATTTTCTGAAGGATTAGTATAGTTACTTCCAACCCATCCTCAACCCATCCTCCGAATTGACAGTACGATTTAATACTAAGTGTAATAAGTACACTTTCTTACTGTAATAAGCAGTGCATAATTGCACTTATGGGGCTGTTACATTGACCCAACTCCCTCCCCCGCTTTAATTCTTCTCGTTTTCTGTTAAGTCACTCAGAATTTTAGGATGACGTTTTCAATTTCGATTTGCAATACACAAGTTTTAAATATCAGGAATTTCTTTTTCAGGTTAATTAAACAATATAGACTTTATACAAAATTTTAAAATATCCTGAGTTACTTTACAATTTATTGATATATTTTAGTTTTGTTTTATTAGTTTTATAAAACTGTAATATCAATATAGCTATAGGTTAAGTACTAATTGTAATTGAGAAGCAATACAATTATTATCTTCAAAAACTAAGACGGTTAGGTGAGGTTGTGGTTTTCTATTCAGTTTTTCAGGTAAACTCAAATATTCACAATATATCTGACAGTACGATTTAATACTAAGTGATAATAAGTACAATTCCTAACTGCTATGAATAGTACATAATTGCACTTATTTGTCTTCTTACATTTACCACCCCATTTTTGGAGGATGGGATGGTTACTTCAGTGTTTCTTAATAATAAATTTTCTAAAAGGTGAGATATTAGCATTTATTGATATTCATTTCCCCCAATGCAATTTTTATGGAGTCAAATATGAAGTATTTGTCATACCCCTAGTAATCGTAATAATATTATTTTAGACCCATACAAATGTTTTAGTGCTTCTTGGTAATACAGTTTTTGAGAGAAGGTAATACGGCTTTTGAGAACACCGTGTAGAATCACATTCAGACCTCTATGAAATTTGACATTATATGTCAGTACACCTACAAAAATTTTGAAAAACAAATTCAATCATTTTTTCTTATAGAATTATGCACCATTATTCATAGAGCTCAGGAAAATTAACAAATGTCCTGTCATTTAAACTAAGGCCATAATGCCATAAAATGCATAAATTGAATTCTGAAACTCTGCTCTCCCATAGAAAACTGTCATTGTGTGTACATGTCATTCATTGTTATACAGACAGTGACACACTCATATTAGTAATACTGTACGGTATTATAGGAGAGAGAAATAGAGAAGTAGGGATGGAGGGGGAGAGCAGGGGTTTGAAAGGGAGACGGGAGGACAAGGACAAAGGGGGTGACAAAGGTGTTGGGAGGTGGGGAAGTTGGGAGGGAGAAAAGGGGGAGGGAGGATGTGGGGAAAGAGGGATGCGGATGAGGGGGGTCAAGGGGGCAATGAGAGAAGAGAGTGAGAGAAGAGAATATTCAAAGCACCGCCAGATACCCCCCTCCAACCCCCAGATGAGTAGTTGGAGGGATAGATGAATGGACAGATGGATGAATAAATGGGCAAATACACTGTAGATCGATGTATGGATAGATGGAATAAAAGACAGATGGATGGAAAGACAGGGATGTATGCATAATAAAATAGATGAATACAGATAGATGGATATAGATATAATAAATATAATAGATAAATAGATGGATATAGACAGAACAGATGGATATGGATAGAATAGATGAATATGGATAGAATAGATGGATATAGAAAGAATAGATGGATATAGATCGAATAGATGGATTTAGATAGTCAAATAATGGATGGATAGATGGACTGATAGGTTGACAGAGTATGGATCAAAAGGTGGAAAGAAGAAATAGAAACTGCCTCACACGGGCCAAAAGGCCTAGCACAGTTTCCTATATTCTTATGTTAATACAGTATTGCCTATTATTCAGATGCCATTGCTGACCTCAGCTATAATCACTTGTACTAACAACACTGATAACACAATAATCATCTTATACACTAGTAGTGTTCCAATTATGATTTATACATTCAGTAAACTTTCAACATGCAATGTTATACCCTACAACACTTCACAGCAACTATTGCACTGTACTTCTTTACATTAAAACTATACATAATAATCAACTGTCTACTTACCAAGTATGGAGGATTTCTTTCTTTCTCTGATGCCAATGGGTAAATATCGATATTTTCAAAATGATTACTAGCAATCAATTCTTCAAGTTTATTTGGTTCAAAATTGGGCAGACAATTATCTTGAAAAGTTACATTTTCAGGTAAAGGTGGCTGTCCAAGTGTTTTGAGAATGGCAACTTTAATGGAAGGTTTCTGCTCCAATTGACCGCTTCCATTTTCGAAGCCTACTGCCAACTGTCTCTCGGCCAGTACTACGTCTTTCGCCTTCAACTCCTTTTCAGTTTTAACTAAATTTTGTCTTTCAGCTGGTAAACTAAAATCATTTTCACGAGTCAGCACCTCCTTGTCGAATATGTCATCATTTCCAAGTACGTTAAAGTTGAACATCCTGGAACAATGAAAATAATTTACAAAAAGGGAAACATTTTTATTTAAACTAATGTACTGTAGATTTTAACATGTCAGAATGATTAGTGAACTCCAGTCCTTAAACCAACCAATAACCAAAGGAATTTACCTTAAATCATTTGTAAACAAGCCCATGTTACCACTTTCTTAACATTATATGGTTAACAAAGTGCTATAGTGTTGGTCTTTAGTAACAACACATTCCATGTTATTCCTCGGAGATTACACACTTACACAATCTCTTATAAGACTCTTCAATTATAGATAATTCATGTTTATCGAAAACTTAGTTTTTTTTACCTATACTGTACAAGTTACGAAAACACCCCGGGAATAATGCCAATATAAGCATGATAATCTTACAAAAATTATGAGAATCATTATAACAGTTATGATAAATCATGACAATAATGAAATTATGATAATCATGTCAATTATGATAATCATGCCAATTATGATAATCATGCCAATTATGATAATCATGCCAATTATGATAATCATGCCAATTATGATAATCATGTCAATTATGATAATCATGCCAATTATGATAATCATGCCAATTATGATAATTACAATAATCATGATAATCATAATAACAATGATCATGACAATCATTATAATAAGCATCATAATAACTGATTATAATAATCCTGATAATGATCTTGATAACCCTGATAATCATGGTAATAATCATGACAATACCAATGATCATAATAATACGGTAAGCATCTTCTTGACATCTTGAGTTATCTTGAGATGATTTCGGGGCTTTAGTGTTCCCGCGGCCCGGTCCTCCACCCCCAGGAAGCAGCCCGTGACAGCTGACTAACACCCAGGTACCTATTTTACTGCTAGGTAACAGGGGCATAGGGTGAAAGAAACTCTGCCCATTGTTTCTCGCCGGCGCCTGGGATCGAACCCAGGACCACAGGATCACAAGTCCAGCGTGCTGTCCACTCGGCCGACCGGCTCCGTAACAATAAATATTGTTACGGAGTATTGTTAAATATTGTAAATATTGTTAAATAACAATAATAGCATAACAATAAATGTTATTTACAATCACGTTGCCAGCTATCAGTTGGACAATGTTGAAATTGCAAAATCTGAATGCAAGAAAGATCTAGGGCTTTCTTAAGTTATCTTAAGTTATCTTATCTTAAGCTTTATGATTAGTGTGGATGTTCTATGTATAAAGGTATGGAATAAATCAAATTGAATATTGGTATTTATTGCTAGAACAACTAGCAATAATGTGTGCAATACTACTGTGGCCATGGATTATAGTTCAGTTTTGGTCTCTCTACTATAAAATAGACACATTCACCTGAATGCTTACTGAACAGGATGGCAAAGTTAATTCCAGAATTTGAAACTTTCCTTATGAAGATATTTAAAAAATGAAATTTACATTCTCTAGAAAGATTAAGAGTATGGAGTGTTAAGAGCAAAAGTATACAAATGGATAAAAGAGTATAACAAAGGCAATATGAATAAGGTTTTATATACAGTACAGTATATTAACTCAAATTAGAATTCTAAACAAAGGACAAAGTGGAAGGTTAATTTCAAGAAGACCTGGAATCACGGTTGTCGATTTATGGACCAAATTACTGAGTAACATAATAAATTTGGGTCACTGTTTCATTTGTAGGTTAAACAAGTATATGGGGAAGTTTGGGTGCATATACAGTAATTGGGTTTGGGTAGTTTAGCAGAAATGCTTTGCATAATATTACCTTTATTAGTTTGGGTAACTCCTTTCCCCACAATTATACATTAATTACTCTTAGGTTCTTTGTACACATTCTTTTGAAAAAATACTTAATCTGAATAAATAGGAGCTGCCTTATATTGGCCAAATGGCTTTCTGCAGTTTCTTCAGTTTCCATTTTTCTTATGTTCTTATGCAAGCCTAGAACAATGTCAAACGAAAATCTACCTTGCACCATAACCCACCAGATGTTCACCTTGTGATGATTTCAGGGCTCAATGTCCCTGCAGCCTGGTCCTCGAGCAAGCCAACCCCTAGACCTAGTCAAGTATACAGTATTATATAATTAAATTAATATTTTTTTTTCAGGGATATTTACACGAGCCCTAAGCCTCTGGCTAGCCCACTGTTGTTCGTATCACCAGTACTTCTTATACAGTGGATGAATGTTTATGGTGTTGGTTTCAGAAAGGACATAGCAGTAGCAGCAGTAGTTCCTGTGTGAACTACTGCTGCTGCTGCTGCTTTTTTATTTCTGCATGGGCCCCAAGCCTCTGGCTGGCCCACTAAGTGTTACTTATTTCTGTTTTACTTAGGTGGAGTATGAGTACTTATGACTCGAATGTTTGCTTCAGTAAGATTATGCCCCCATGTGTTTAACAACTTCTGCTCTGTTGAATCTAAGTTAAAATCTTATTAGGTTTGTAATGGTGTACTGAGTTAGATAATGTTCCAGTGGTCTGTCGGGCATTTCTACACAGTGTTGACATTTCCTCTCATGTTCTGGAACCTGTAAGCTTATTTTCCATGCACATTGATATCCAAAAAGCCATACCCCATGTGTATGGGTATGGCTTACACCCATGATGTGGTGTAAGTGTACTTCTGTTGTTCTACTGTTCCTTTTCATCAAAATGCTGGGTTCTTGAACATCAGTGATGGTTCAAGTAAAACTGTGTACTGTTTAATCTAACTAATTTGGATCATATGGGGATGGCCTCGATCTGAATCATGTGGAGATTAGAATAAGCTGAATTTCTTAAGACATGAACAAAAATTATTAAATTTGTCATTTTTTGTAATAATTTATTTCACATTTCTATATACTGTACTACAATGCAATAAATATAAATTTAACATTGTTAGGGGAAGAGATTCATAGAAATGAATAAAATAGAAAGACTTAACAAATTTCAATTTATCATGAAGTTAACAGCAATCTTGATAATGAGAGGCTTAAACTTTTACCATTAATCTAATGTTGAAATTACTATACAATTTCATGTACTGTATTGCAATTATTTCTCTTTTCTTTTCCCTATTCCAGGCAAAGGACTTGTGCCAACTCTAAATCCTTTCACATCAACAGTCATTTTTACAGTTCAATGACTAAGCTTATAAATAATTAATAGAAGGTTACTTCCTCGTAATGCCATGTTGACTGCTGTTGGTGCTATTAGACATGTTCTTGGCAACAATTATTAAAGTTAGTAGTAAAGAAGAAAAAGTAAGTTTAAGAATCTAAGCGACTTACTGCCACTTTGTCCACTTCCACATGAAGGAAGAAACATGGGTAAACAAGTTCAGAGTCAGAATGGGTTCAATCGTGAGACAATATATATTAGCCACCAAATGGGGAGGGGGGAATTATTTTTTAAGAGGGGACACTATACAGCCAGAACATCAGTTTTATCAATACTGTAATTGTTTGTTATAATATTTTATATTATTGTATACTTTGAGAAAGTCAACTGGAGCTCCGAGGCAACTCAAACCAGGGACCGAAAGAACCCCAGCCACTGATGCTTACCACTGGGCCACACTGACTTGTACCAGTAACCAAATCAGGGTGGTCCAGTGGATAGGGTCAGCAGCTGGGGTTTTCTCGGTCGAGTCACCTCAGATCTCCAGTTGATTTTCTCATTGACATTTATCAGGTTAGTATGATTTATTTCTGATTATGAATTCTATACTTTGTTATTAATTCATTGTTCAATGTAATCGTGTTTAAATAAAAATAAGCCTGCCATGTGTTATTCAGTATCCAAACAACAAAGGCCAGTAATACAGATGCACAAAGAAATTGCATTAACATGAGGTTTAAAATGAGGTTCAAATCCTCCTCGTGTCTCCTAATGATTTTCCCAGGTGATTTGGATTTTTGTCCAAAGTAATTAGCAAACTACGACAATTCTGGCCAATTTACAGTAAATAGTATGTTTCATATTTCACATCAATGAATTGCATTTGTGAACATGTATATGATTTATTACTATTATCACCAAAAGTTGGTTTGTGACAACTGAACATACTGACATACTAACTGATAACATTTGTCGAGATACATATTACAGTATATCCAAGTTACATACTAGTACTGTATAGCGTTAGAGATCTATACTTACAGTAACATGTAAATACATGTGGTTAACATATACAATATACATCTCTAGGCCACACAAATAGAGTATATAAAGTTTATTGTCAACTATGAATGAGATTCCTCAACACATTTAAAATAAGAGAAAATGCAAAGCCAAACTGGCGTCTTATAAAATCTACAATACTCCTACTTACGGAAAATCTTGATCAATGTCCATGTTCCTCATATTTGTGGACATGTCCATCTTCCTAATATCTGTGGACAATTATGGAAAATTAGTCTACAATATACTTGAAAGGCATTAATTTGTCCTGTTACATCAATACTTTTTTTGATTACAGAATTTGGCATATTATAGAAATATTTGGTCACTGATGTTTTTTTTTAAATTAGTATTTGTTGGATATTTTATCTTTCTTAAAATTAAATCACTAATAAATCCCTGAAATTGTGAGTCACAGATGAAACTTTTTTCCCCCCAAAGATCTCTACTTTTGAGTGTACAAATCCAGCCGCTTTCTTTAGCTCCAGTACAGTAATGAGTGCACACCACCTCCCCCCCCCCCCCCACCACCTGCTCCAGCCCCCCCAGTGTGTGCACATAACCTCCCCCCCCTTTACCAGTAGTTCAGCCTGGTGTAAGGGTGGACCATCAACCCTTTGCAGATGTACTGTACAGTGGTATGCAATACCCAGATGTACTGTACAGTGGTATACAAGACCCAGATGTACTGTACAGTGGTATACAAGACCCAGATGTACTGTACAGTGGTATACAAGACCCAGATGTACTGTACAGTGGTATACAAGACCCAGATGTACTGTACAGTGGTATACAATACCCAGGTGTACTGTACAGTGGTATACAAGACCCAGATGTACTGTACAGTGGTATACAAGACCCAGATGTACTGTACAGTGGTATACAATACCCAGATGCACTGTACAGCGGTATACAAGACCCAGATGTACTGTACAGTGGTATACAATACCCAGATGTACTGTACAGTGGTATACAATACCCAGGTGTACTGTACAGTGGTATACAAGACCCAGATGTACTGTACAGCGGTATACAATACCCAGATGTACTACATAGTGCTATACCGCCCCTGACATCACCGCTGTAAACAATATCTCCGTGACATCAGTACTCGGGAGACAAAGTCACGTACAAAATGCAACACAAAACATGTATTAATGTTTAGATGTGCACACATACACTTACTTGTGGCGGTGGGGGCTAGTTAAGGTAGCTTGGTGGTGGTGTTGTGGAGTAGTTAGTGGTGCGAGGAGGGCAGTAGAGTAGTTAGTGGTGCAGTAGAGGAGTGAGAGAGTGCCACCTCGGGTGCCAGAGTGCGGGGCCTGACTGGCCCTCCGCCGCGCTCCTCAACACCCAACACCCGACAACACATTTCCTCAATGCACTTTTATTTTCAATTATCGTAGGCGTCTGCTGAGCTTATCTGGGCCGTTTCTTGCGGTTAAAGCGGCGTTTTAATCATTTATGCCTCGTATAGCCTTGAGAAGCATGAGTACTGTAGAGGAGAGTAATAATAAAGTGTGAGAGTTGGTATATGAGGAGAGGTGCGGCAGCGGGCGGGTGTAAACACGGCGGGGATCACGTGAGACCTCCACCTGCCCTCCCTCGCAACACTCTCATCTTATCTCACAATATTTACACTTATTAACCACTTCCTCCCATTAAAAACAAGCACATTTACGTTAATATCAATCAAACAACTGTGCTAACAATTTAGATGATCAGATATTAGTGAAGGAAGCTTAAATCATAATTCAGTGAAGTGTTGGTGCGCCTGAGATTCTAGGAAGCAAAACGTTCCCGACATTGTCCATACGAATATCAAGACCTCACACTCCCGCCACGTATTTTGCTCCCTACGACCTCCTTCCACTTGTTGGGTCTTTTATTAAAGTACTTATATACATATACAGAGCTTTAAACCTCAAGCGATTAAGTAATGTGAGGTTTTTAACCAAGGAACCCTGTGGCCAGTATAACAAGTAGAGAGGATAGGATGTCCGCCCCACGTGTTGCATCATGCTTCAATTAACACGAAATTAGCTAGTGGAGTTTTAATTTTTTTTTTAATTTTGCCCCGAGGGGCGCCATTGGGCAGCGCCACTCATCTTCTGAGTAGACATACCGCCATACCGTCTGTGTGTCCTCACAGGGATGTGAGGACACACACAGACCAGCCACAAGGATGTGAGGACACACAGACCAGCCACAGGGATGTGAGGACACACAGACCAGCCACAGGGATGTGAGGACACAGACCAGCCACAGGGATGTGAGGACACACACAGACCAGCCACAGGGATGTGAGGACACACACAGACCAGCCACAGGGATGTGAGGACACACAGACCAGCCACAGGGATGTGAGGACACACAGGCCAGCCACAGGGATGTGAGGACACACAGACCAGCCACAGGGATGCAAGGACACACACAGACCAGCCACAGGGATGTGAGGACACACAGACCAGCCACAGGGATGTGAGGACACACACAGACCAGCTACAGGGATGTGAGGACACACAGACCAGCCACAGGGATGTGAGGACACACAGACCAGCCACAGGGATGTGAGGACACACAGACCAGCCACAGGGATGTGAGGACACACAGACCAGCCACAGGGATGTGAGGACACACAGACCAGCCACAGGGATGTGAGGACACACAGACCAGCCACAGGTATGTGAGGACACACAGACCAGCCACAGGGATGTGAGGACACACACAGACCAGCCACAGGGATGTGAGGACACACACAGACCAGCCACAGGGATGTGAGGACACACACAGACCAGCCACAGGGATGTGAGGACACACAGACCAGCCACAGGGATGTGAGAACACACAGACCAGCCACAGGGATGTGAGGACACACACAGACCAGCCACAGGGATGTGAGGACACACAGACCAGCCACAGGGATGTGAGGACACACACAGACCAGCCACAGGGATGTGAGGACACACAGACCAGCCACAGGGATGTGAGGACACACAGACCAGCCACAGGTATGTGAGGACACACAGACCAGCCACAGGGATGTGAGGACACACACAGACCAGCCACAGGGATGTGAGGACACACACAGACCAGCCACAGGGATGTGAGGACACACACAGACCAGCCACAGGGATGTGAGGACACACAGACCAGCCACAGGGATGTGAGAACACACAGACCAGCCACAGGGATGTGAGGACACACAGACCAGCCACAGGGATGTGAGGACACACACAGACCAGCCACAGGGATGTGAGGACCTTCAGTGAAAGAGACAGTAAGTGGAGTGACTTAAGAGTGGAAACAGAAGAGCCAAACTCTACGTATGACGCACTTCAACAACAGATACAACAGCAAACGACAATATTGCAAATTATCGCAGTGCCCCATCATCAACAGACTGCAAGGCAGCTCCCATGCAGGAGGCGGAGAACTGATTGATTGATAAAGATTAAGCAACCCAAGAGATGGCACGGGCATGAATAGCCCGTAAGTGGTGGCCATTTTGAGCCATCACCAGTATCAAGAGATGATACTGGAGATCTGTGGAGGTGCGACTGCACCCTGCGTGACGGGAGATGTCTCCAGGACCAAATGGTGACCAAATGGAGGCGGAGAACACTAGTATAAATTAATTCCGGTGGGGAAAAACACCAATGGAAGAAATGTATTAAGCAATAACTAAAATATTGTATCCACATTTACATTGACCAGAATATAACAGCAGCAATGATAGCGTAGTGAACGAGAGCTGTGTTGGGCTGTACTTGGGAACCCCACAACGGAAGCAGTGAGGGAGTCTGGCACAGCTGTGGCGAGTGCTTGTTCGTTCAGGGGTGGGGGGACAAGGGCACACAAGACCCACCTCTCTGGGCGGGGTGGCTGATAGAGAAACTAGTGTGCAATTAACCACTTAACCACTGAAAGTGATTAAGGTGCTTTTACAAGCTCAGGTTATATAGTTACAACACATACATACATTGTATAATTGATACATTACATGGTTAATCTTGGGTACAAGTCCAATATATCACCAAGTGTTCCAGTACTCATATAGTAATTACAGAGTTCAGCATACCTTAGCTCAGGAGGGCGAAAGTCAGTCAATATGGGACATTCTACAATATAATGTTCAAGAGAGTGCATGTTTTCTCTTTCACAAAGTTGACACATTGTGTACTCGACATTTGGATTTTGAGAAAGCTGCCAGATACGTCTATATCCCAGGCAATTATTCTCTTTGTCACTGCTAATGAGACACCCATATCAATGTCTACCACTGGTTTTCTGCAGGCTGTCTTTGCAAGCATATCAACAGTGTCATGCCTTGAGATGCCAACATGGCGGTGTGTCCACTCACAGGATGAGTGGCGCTGCCCAATACTGTCACTATGGCGGTGTGTCCACTCACAGGATGAGTGGCGCTGCTCAATACTGTCACTATGGCGGTGTGTCCACTCACAGGATGAGTGACGCTGCCCAATACTGTCACTATGGCGGTGTGTCCACTCACAGGATGAGTGACGCTGCCCAATACTGTCACTATGGCGGTGTGTCCACTCACAGGATGAGTGGCGCTGCCCAATACTGTCACTATGGCGGTGTGTCCACTCACAGGATGAGTGGCGCTGCCCAATACAGTCACTATGGCGATGTGTCCACTTACAGGATGAGTGGCGCTGCCCAATACTGTCACTATGGCGGTGTGTCCACTCACAGGATGAGTGGCGCTGCCCAATACTGTCACTATGGCGGTGTGTCCACTCACAGGATGAGTGGCGCTGCCCAATACTGTCACTATGGCGGTGTGTCCACTCACAGGATGAGTGGCGCTGCCCAATACTGTCACTATGGCGGTGTGTCCACTCACAGGATGAGTGACGCTGCCCAATACTGTCACTATGGCGGTGTGTCCACTCACAGGATGAGTGGAGCTGCCCAATACTGTCACTATGGCGGTGTGTCCACTCACAGGATGAGTGGCGCTGCTCAATACTGTCACTATGGCGGTGTGTCCACTCACAGGATGAGTGACGCTGCCCAATACTGTCACTATGGCGGTGTGTCCACTCACAGGATGAGTGGCGCTGCCCAATACTGTCACTATGGCGGTGTGTCCACTCACAGGATGAGTGGCGCTGCCCAATACTGGTTGGTGGTGACTATGGTGGTGTGTGTCGGAAGCCACCATGGTTGGTGGTGTGTGTCGGAAGCTACCACGGTTGGTGGCGACTATGGTGGTGTGTGTCGGAAGCCACCATGGTTGGTGGTGTGTGTCGGAAGCCACCATGGTTGGTGGTGTGTGTCGGAAGCCACCATGGTTGGTGGTGTGTGTCGGAAGCCACCATGGTTGGTGGTGTGTGTCGGAAGCCACCATGGTTGGTGGCGACTATGGTGGTGTGTGTCGGAAGCCACTATGGTTGGTGGTGTGTGTCGGAAGCCACCATGGTTGGTGGTGTGTGTCGGAAGCCACCATGGTTGGTGGCGACTATGGTGGTGTGTGTCGGAAGCCACCATGGTTGGTGGTGTGTGTCGGAAGCCACCATGGTTGGTGGTGTGTGTCGGAAGCCACCATGGTTGGTGGCGACTCTGGTGGTGTGTGTCGGAAGCCACCATGGTTGGTGGCGACTCTGGTGGTGTGTGTCGGAAGCCACCATGGTTGGTGGTGTGTGTCGGAAGCCACCATGGTTGGTGGCGACTATGGTGGTGTGTGTCGGAAGCCACCATGGTTGGTGGTGTGTGTTGGAAGCCACCATGGTTGGTGGCGACTATGGTGGTGTGTGTCGGAAGCCACCATGGTTGGTGGTGTGTGTCGGAAGCCACCATGGTTGGTGGCGACTATGGTGGTGTGTGTCGGAAGCCACCATGGTTGGTGGCGACTATGGTGGTGTGTGTCGGAAGCCACCATGGTTGGTGGTGTGTGTCGGAAGCCACCATGGTTGGTGGCGACTATGGTGGTGTGTATCGGAAGCCACCATGGTTGGTGGTGTGTGTCGGAAGCCACCATGGTTGGTGGTGTGTGTCGGAAGCCACCATGGTTGGTGGCGACTATGGTGGTGTGTGTCGGAAGCCACCATGGTTGGTGGCGACTATGGTGGTGTGTGTCGGAAGCCACCATGGTTGGTGGCGACTATGGTGGTGTGTGTCGGAAGCCACCATGGTTGGTGGCGACTATGGTGGTGTGTGTCGGAAGCCACCATGGTTGCATCACTGTCAGTGCCTCTTGTTGCCACATCCATCATCAAGTCCATACTCTTACTATGGTATATGCAACTAATCTATTACCAACTGCAACTCTCATATAAGCAGTGTAGAGTGTATAAGTGTTACATTAGCCGTACACAGTGTGA